ATGAACACAGTGTGGGCAAGGATCATTACCTCATTCAACATCCTATGCAATTCATCTCTTGCTTCTACGACACGGTCTCTATCATTACTATCAACCACAAAGATGAGACCCTGAGTGTTCTGGAAGTAGTGCCTCCACAATGGACGGATCTGCCAAAATGAACCACAAAAGAAATTAGAACTACCAGATAATTGACCAAAATCTTCAGTCCATGTGAAAGAATAAAGCTACCAGCAAATACGAAAAAAGATGTATCAGACAGAAGCAGAGGTAAGGCTTATTTTTTGCTTATCGTATAAACAAAGGCCAAATCAACACAACTTACTGCCTTTGGGGAAAAAAAGAAGAGATTATACCTTGTCCTGACCCCCGACATCCCAAACAGTGAAGCTGATGTTCTTGTACTCAACAGTCTCCACATTGAAACCTGAAAATTGCCGATTATTACTGATAGCTTATCCAAGCGGTAAAGTATTATTTGCAAATCAGTGTACACTTTCTATAAGATGACAAGTATATCTCTCAGTACAAGTTATGTTTTCAATAGAAAAACAGACACTATTATCTAAATGTTAGCATCGTAAAAATTATCATACAGAATAAATTAACAATCATTATGAGTCTGCATGACAAACTGTCACTGATAAACTTTCAGATGTTTTAAGCACCAGTTAGTTGCTAAGACTACTCACCATACAGAACAACCAAAGCAGAGAGAGGCAGACGATAGGAGGGATAGGTTATTACCAACTAAACTTTTGCAGCAAACAACAGCAGGAAGAAGGATTTATAATGCTGCATACCTTCATTCATATTATTTATTTACTTAATCAAAATAATAAGTTGGTTAATCTTTCGAGTGTCACATAAGTGATATAAGAGAGGGCAGTTCAAGTGGAAATCTCCCTCCACCCCCAACCTTGATATTGGGGGTTCGAGCCACCACAAGCAAAGTGGGAACAGGCCACTATTGACTCCTAGGGAGAGGGTTGGGGTGGGAACATGTGGTTTACCAATAAAAAAAGGTTGCAGAACATAAGTCGACCCGTAACAATAAGATTTGGCACTAATCGATACAAATCATGCAACATACCCAATCATATCCTCGACCAGAGACCAACTCAAAGTGATAAAGTAAATATTATGCCTAACAACTGCATATGGGAAACAGGCAAAAGGTGCACACAAAGATCATTATGGAAAGAACTTTGCTCTATGCAGTGATCTACATACCAATGGTGGGAATGGTAGTGACGATCTCTCCCAGCTTCAACTTGTACAATATGGTAGTCTTACCAGCTGCATCAAGACCAACCATTAGAATGCGCATTTCCTTCTTGGCAAAAAGCCGACTGAAGAGCTTGGTGAATGTCAGCCCCATTTCGCTTCCTTGTTGATGATCCCTATACACCATAATATTACACAATCAAATCATATAACTTAAATCCATGGTCGCCTTCAAAATTCAGGTTCATATGCTGATTCATACCAAGTTGGAGCTATTCTATACATGGATCTGAATGACAAGGCAAAATGATCACATTGACACGACCAAAATAAACTTTTAAAAGCTCAAACTTAAGTTTACACGATTCAACCCCGATACATTATAATTTTCAAGCTGCAATGACTCAATTTTCAGATCATGCACAGAAACACACAAGAAAATGCATCAGTGGCTGTGAACCTCTAAATCTGAGATAGGTAACCACAAATCACAGAAGCACCAATTGCGCACAAAAAATGTAGCCAAAAAATCTCTATCAAAATTGAATCTTAACATTAAATTGAACAGATTATAGCGTAAAATCAATCAGAAACTTTCTCAAATCCATACAAAACGACTTTTCCTATAGACCAAATCAAAACAATGAGTCAATATTCAGATCATAAAGAAAACACAAATTCACACAAAAAAATGAAACAAAAAAACGAATCAACAGCTACGAACCGCTAAATCTGAGATCAATAACCTCAAATCACACAAATATCAGCCGCCTACAACAAATTACAAATGCGGCCCCAAATTCTCGAAATATCTGAATCTTTTATCATTAGATTGAATACGTTAGAGCCTAAAATCAACCGCGAACAGTCTCAAATCCAAAACACGAGTTTAACAGCGAATTTATCGAAAAAATAAAAATAAACAAAAAATTGTAACTATAAAAGTATGAAACTGAACAAAAAAACGAACCTAAGGTTGATGAAATACGAAGATCTACCTGAAAAGAGCTTTTGGAGGAGGGATCTAATGAGAGGAGAAACCTGAGAATAACGCTGAAAAATATGTAGAGAGCGGAAAGGAATTTGATTGCAATAAATAAAGGAAAGGAGATCTTTTTTATGGTACCAAAATGGCATTTAGAATTTGATGAAATGACGAGAATGCCACTCTATTCTAACGGTGGGTGCGTTTTGCACCGTCAGTCTGTTTCATGTACGTTGGCAAGTGCAATCAGATACTGACGCGTGTTAATGCTTAAATTTCTGGTTAAAGAAAGGGATTGTTAATTTAATTAGTTCTTAGGTTTAGCTTTGATTTTGGTTTGTTACAGTGTAGCAATTTTTACATGAGAAATAGTTTAGTCCCTTTTCAGCATTTTCTACGTAATATTATACTTTGGATTGGAAAACTTTCCGATAGGAAGCATTTTAGTTCTTTGTTGGAGTTACGAGTTATCCGGGTGACTCCAAATTAATCATGTAATGGTTAAACCAAAAAAATACATTATAGTAATCTCTCTCATGAGAATATATATTGATGTTTTCAATAGTATAAATATTTAATATGTATTGTAATTTGATCGGTATTTTGGTTTTAACATGTTATAATCCTTCCTTTTATGTTAAATTTCTTACCTTATATAGGTTGCAATTGACTTTTGAATGACTTGATCGTTCAAATATTACAACCACCTAAACTCTTGATTATTGGCATGTTTATTTGAGCATTATAACCATATAGACCCTCACTATATTTGTGTATTTCGTTTAGTTTGCAAATTACTAAATAGAAGGTGGATTTTTTCCATGGGATTTGAGAGGTTGGGCTAACTAATTTAGAAAATACCTTTGGTTTATGAAAAGAAACCTATGGTACTAAGCAAATGAAAACTAACAAGAGAAATTTCCTTAGTCAGCTTTCTTTGCTACAAAGGTTTTGAATCAGTCGACATCAACTGTACTTCTTATGTAGTACTAAATTGTTTATGTTATCATTCTCTTTTAGTAAAAAGATATCATTAAAATAATACTCCTATACAAAATTTGGAGTTTAAAGGAAAACGGTTGTCATTCACTGTTTTCCGCCGGCATTGACAAGTCGAATAACTTTCCATTCTCCGCCATCCGAAGCTTCTATGCATAAGTATGAACTACCAACAATTTTCAGAAAGTATTAATGTTTAGTGACTATTAACTTCTTATAGTTATTATATATATAATTACTTTTTATAGTTACTATTTAGTTGTTACGCGACTGTATTCATGAATAAAGTAGCGGCATTCGCCTAAAAAATAAGAAAGTCCAGTTGTTTAATAACGAAGAGAGAAGCGTGTATCACTCCTAATTTAACACAACAAAATCAATTCTACAAAATTTCGTTGCTATTGTGTTGTATTCCATGTATTTGCACGACTGTATTTATAAATACAGTGAGGTAATCCGCCTAAAAATAGGGATTACAACTGTTTAATTATGTATTCCATGTATTCGCGCGACTATATTTATAAATACGGTGAGGTAATCCTCCTAAAAATAGTGATTACGTGTGTTTTATAACGAAAAATGCAATATTGAATTGTCTTCAATTTTACTATATTGAATTCGGCTGTATTCAAACAACAAATAAATTAAGAAATAGAGTGTATACCGTTCTATTCAATTCGACTGTATACATTGTATTCAATTCACAGATATTCATTATTCACTATTATATATTATTTTCAATTACTGTATTCAAACAACAAAAAATCACAAAAATAGTGATATTCGGTTGTATTAAAAAAATATAGACCTTCGGAATACATAAATACATGCGAAAAAATAATGTATTTATACAAAAATATAATGTATTTGAGTGTATTTGTATCTTTGTACGCGACTCAATAGCAAAGAAGAGACGAAAATTCGCCGGAGATGGCGCTTTTCGGCCAACTGTATATATTGTATTAAAACTAAAAATGAAGACGAACAAAAACTCGCCCCTCAAATCTTCTCCGGCATGGATATTTTATATGCTGACTATGAACCTTCAGATGTGGATATCTTATATGCGGAGGGTGTTACTTCTTCCAATGGACTTTCATGTGTGGATTTCTCATTCCCAGATTCATAAGATTATACTAATAATCTTGACAGCAATGATCATCCTAATTCTATGCTCAGATTTGAAAAGAAAAAATTAATATTTGGTTTACTCACCCTTGCACTGTTATGCCTTTGAAGGGGAAGCACTTTTACCTCATTGACTTACTACTGTCTCACTAATGTGGATTCGCATGGCTGGTGCGTCAATCTCGGGTTCATGATAAGTAATTGATATGAGAAAGAGATTTGAGGGAGAAAAGAGAGGATTAAGAATCTTGCTGATAGAAAGAGAGGGAAGAGAGAGATAAAGAACATAATTAGCGTAATTCACTACTCAATGGTAGGGTATAAAATAAATACATATTTTGCTATAAAATAGAAAAGGTAGCTATAAGTAATAATATTTCTAAATTGTTTTAGTTTATAATAAATAGGGTGTTTTAGTTTGTTATAAGAGTTAAAATTTCCTATAAACTTTCGGCTCCTCATGTTACAGTTGTAACTTTAAGCTTTGGACCATTCTATTAGCATGCTATTTTTGCTACAAATCTACAATAAAAGAAGGTCGAGATCCATCTGGTTGGTGATCCACAGCCTTATTATTGTAATGTAGCTTTTGGATGAAAGGAGTAGTCTCAATCTTGTAGGTATTGTAGTCTATTTGTGAGACAAAGAGCAGAGTCCAAAATTCGTTTGCCAGTCACAAACTGCGGGGTTCTCCAATCGAATCAGCATTCCTATATGACAAACTACGCCTCAATCCCGAGTAAGTTGAGATTGGTTACATGAATTCTCAATAACAATGTCACTCCATTTCGACTGTTTTATTCCAAATAATTTCCATACGAATAAACAAATAAAAAGAAAATTTTATTACTATGGCGTAATTAGTACACCATCATAAGGAATGCACTAACAGATTACAAGAACAACAATGGAACTCAAGGCAGCCGGGGAAACTTTGAGAAATCTGGTCGTCTGCGTTCATTATATGCATTTTTGCCTTCGCTGCCTTCTTCAGTTCCATAAAATAGAAGAGTGGCATCTCCCCCAAGGCCCTGAGTTAATTTTAAAGAATGAAAATGTGTATCATAAGTATTTGCCTAGTAGGAACATATATCTGGATGTCCAGAATTATCGAGATTTATGTTTTGTGCTTTGCTTTATACAATGAAGAGAGAAATGCATAGAATAGAGAAGGACGGCTAAGGAAAATGAAAAGTAAATAACTGGGTAAAGTTTGCTAGCTCTAATATGAGAACATTTTGAAATATAAGGGAAAAGTGGAAAATATTTGATGTTGAATATACCTGAAGTCCAGCATGTCCATCATCAACTGCATTGAGAGCTGATTTTAGCACCCGTATTGCTGTAGGACTATTTCTTAAGATCTCTCTACACCATTTTATTGTTTCTGGTTCCAACTTGTCTAACTGTAGAAGGAAACAAGACATTGCATTAGAAAACTCCAATGCATTTCCTATGACGGAGGAAGTAAAACTTTCTCTAAGCTTAAGGAGACCTATAAATTTGTTGGGAGGAGTATAATTTTGAGCTAACTGGCAAGTATGTTGTGGTAAAATGGAATGGACAAGGAAATGGAATGCTAATTTTGATTAATTTTCCTCTTGCTTCTCTATGGTTGTTACACTAATGGTAGCTCTTAGGGTTAAGGAAGTAGTGTCAGTGATATACTCACTGGAACAACAGTATTCACAAGTCCCATTTTCTCTGCTTCAGAGGCAGTGTAGAACCTTGTCAAAAACCACATTTCACGAGCTTTTTTCGGCCCAACCTGTTCAGCCAGCAAAAGATTAAACCAATATCAATGAGTTAACTTAATTGTGATTGAGATGCGCTTTGCGTGTTTTTACACCAATACTTGATCAAGAAGTTCTATCGACATGAAAATAAAAAGACCAATCTGTTATCCATAAAGGAAAAAACCAAGATTAGATGCTCACCAAACGAGACATAATTGAACTTCCATAACCAGCATCAAAACTTCCTACCTGCAATTTGCAAAAGAATCAGATCTCATGAATCCTTGTCTGGCATCAGATTTTAACTTTATGTAGATTATTCGTGCAGAAAGGGCCTCAAAGTGTAACACAAAGGAAAAAGAACAAGAATAAAGTCAAGAAGGCTATAGTAATAAGAATAGGAATAACAAGAAGTCAATTGACTATGTAAATGAGCTGGGATATTCATTCAACATAGAACATCGCTTTATTCCAAACAGTACTTGAATACATGCTCATTTACTGATTTACTAATAAATGTATTCTCAAGTACACATGTAAAAAAGATGTAACTGATAAAAGCACCTTTGGGCCTGTCTGACCAAATATAGCATTTTCTGCTGCAATTGTTAGATCGCAAACCATATGCAAGATATGTCCGCCTCCAACAGCATAACCTGCAACCTTAGTCGCAAGAAATGCAAAAGAGATATCCGAAGATAATTGAATTATGTGATAAATGGGGTCACAAAATTAAAGCACTTAACAGGAGAAAGAAAGAGATCCTTACCATTGCGATTACTGGTTTTGGAAGACGGCGAATTTGCACCTATGCAGGAAAGAAGCAGAATAAGGTAAACTCGAAAAATACATCAAGTGAAGCTAAGAATGGGATACATCAAAAACTTAATATCAGTATCCTTTTATTTGTTTATAGTCCTAAAACTAACTATCTATCTTAAGGAAAAAATGTTTTGAAATAACTTAAAGAACATGAAAGATTAGGTTACCTGTAAATCTAAAACATTGAGGCGACCAAAACTTTCAAAATCAGCATAACCATCCTTACTTCTCAATGCCTGATCACCACCACTACAAAAAGCCTTTGTACCCTGCATCAAGTCATTCTTGAGAACAAAGCATGTGGCACAGCTAAACAGACACAATCTACTGAAGTTAACACGCTATAAAAAGATATCTAGAAAGTGATTTAATAAGGTATAAAGAAGGTTTTCTTATTTATTTATTCCAACAAAATAAGCCAAAAGAGTAAGTCAAACTTGATACCTCGTCCAGGAAAAGACTCTGTAAAACCAATTAGTAGTTCTTCACTATAGGATTACCTACCAGTAGATGATTCAGACAGAAGATGATGAAGCAAATCAAAAGAGAAGTTAGTCCAAATGCATAGCAAAGAAGCAAAAACCATCACCTGAAGGGGTCAGTCCTAGTCGACAACAAATTCAATTAACTACTTTTACACTCCTATTACATCTTTTAAGAGAGTCTTGAAAGGAACAGAACAATTATAAATCAATTTACAGTCTTTCATCTCAGTCACCAAGTACTATCACAGGGTAAGGCTGGAAGCGAATACTTGATAATATGAGAAATTAGTAAATTGGACTCAAGTTCATTCCTCCACATGTGAAACTGAAATCATTTCACTAACTTTGAATTTCATAGCTTTTTGAGTTTGTACATGATATGTTTTTCTTTTATACTTACCTTTCCTGTGAGGATGATGACTCCCACTGAACCGTCATCCCTGGCATCGTTAAATGCACGAATAAGCTCCTTAATGGTGTGTGGTCGAAAAGCATTTCTTCTATCCGGTCTATTGATGGTTATCTACGAGATGAAAGGTAAACAACATGAGTTAAATTAAAGCTCCAATATTCCAGCCTCTGAGTTTCTTACATTATCACTTCAGGTCATCCCTAAGTAGTAATAGCAACAAAGAGGCCTCAGCACCAGCTACTAGTTGCTAATAGTAAAAAAGAGATGCAATGAAAAGCAAGAACCTAATGTTGCTAACAGTAATAGAGAAAAGCGCCCATGACTGAGTAGCATTGCAGCTAAATACTTTATTTGTCTCAATTTATGTGGCACAATTTTCTTCTTAGTGTGTCCCACAAAGAATGTTATATTTCTATATTAGAAATAATTTAACTTTAAAATTTTCATGTTACCTTAATGAGTCAAATGCTTAAAGCTTGTTTCATACAACAAATTTCAGAAGTCCTTATTATTTCTTTTTTAAAATTTTGTGCCTCTCGAACGGACACATAAATTGGAACGAAGTGATTAGCTTTAATTTACTTAATTTCCCACCTTAAATGAACTTACTACTATTCAGTTTCCTCCGGTAACATTGCAAAGGGTGCTAACCAGTCAATAAACATTATCAACAATAGAAAACAAAGTAGGTAACATTTTCTGATAAATGTTAAAAGGAAAAAAACCTTAGCAATGGGTTCAGCAACAGCTTTCTGATAAATGATATCAGTAAAATCCTTTCCATTCTCATCAGAAGGAATGAGCCTCCAAAGGGGCTCGTGGGTTGGGACTTGACCATGAACTCTATGGTAATTATTATCATTAATGGAAGAGCTACACCCAATTGAAGAAACAACATGTTGAGCTGAAGAAGAAGAAGAAGAAGAAGAAGAAGAAGCAGGCAAAAGATGGTTTGCAACTGATGCCACTCTCCTCCTCAAGGTGTTAAGATCCTTCTCTGACATTCTTGACATCGTTAAAGCTTCTAGACGAGTTTCGTGTGTTATAACTCAGTTGCCTATCTGAATCACCCCTTCACTTGGCTTGGTTGGTTATATAATGGAGTTGTACAGTTAGACAATATATGATCAGTTGATGGGGGTGTTTTTGATTGATTGGATAAGATGAGATAAGATAATTGGGTTTTGTCAGATTTTTTGGAGCCAAAATGGCATAAATTTTTACTACCTAGCCTATGTTTTTTATTAAAGAACCTAGGTGTAGTGTTGAATAAGCAAAGTTTTCTTTTTCCACATTAGTAACATCAACTAGTTCGAGATAGAGATATAGTATCTAATTACTTGATTGATTAATCATTTGATTGTGACCGGATAAATAGGGATTCTTCCGGAACTCATTTGTGGTTCTTTTTGATAAAAAGAACGAAAATGCGGGTAAAAAAAAGAGTTACTTAACTATGTATAACCCTCTTTTATAGAGCGTTATACCTTAACGAACGTTTTGGACGTTAAGGTATAGCGCTCTTTAAAAGAGCGTTATACATATATAACGCCATTATAAACCGTGTTAATGCATAGCGCGGTATATAAAAGCGTTATATGTATAATGCTTTTATATACCGCGCTATACATAGATAAAAACGGTCCCCTCCCTTTTTCCCCACGATTAAAATCGACCCTTCCCCCATTTTTTTAAAAAACAGAAGTGC